CCCCCCCCCCCCCCAGGGTGCCTTGAGGATGTCAGCCCCAAACGCTTGTCCTCAATTAGTGCATCACAAACCCCTGATTTGGTGCAGCTGGGAAACACCCCACCTAAAAGAGGGGTGCCTGAGCTCATTTAGTCACTCCGGACGGAGAGAAGGGTGCTCTGGGCAAGAGGGGATCTTGAGAAGTGGAAGGGTGCCCTGACATCCCCTATCAGCGGTGAGCCCCTCAGAGAGCCCCCGAGCAGCTGCTGGGAGTAGGGGTGAACGAGGGGGAGGACCCCTCACACCGGTAGCAGAGGTCCACTTGGCCATGTCTTTTGGTGGACTCAGGAGCTGCCAACCTCAGTCTAACTTCCCATGGGGGAGAGAGCGTATTTGGAACCTGTCTTCCACCCCAGACCCACAAAGGAAAGGAAGGAGCATGAAGGCCCCAGTCCCCTCCCCCTCTCCCCCATGGCAGGCTGGGCTGTGACCTCCCACGGATGGTCTGGTCTGGAGCTGCCCGGCGTGGGACCCCAAGGATGGGGCCAGGATAGGCCTGGGTGCACACCTGCTCCTTGAGCTCGTTGAGCTGGGCGGTGAGGTGGGACACCAGCTTCATGGTGGAGTTGAGCTTATCCTGAAGAATCCGGATCTCATTCTGCTCCCCTTCCCCCTCGTTGCTCACTAGGGACATGGCCCTCATCCGGGGGAACCAGTCCAGGTTCTTGTTCTGAAAAAAATCACCGGTGGGATGAGCAAGCTCCGGCCCAGGCTAGGAAGGCCTCATTTAGAAGAGCAGTCATGGAGGGGGAACCCGCCGTCACACCCTGGACACATTCCTCCCCAGGGCTGTGTCATGGGAAAATCTGAACTGACTGGGGTCCTCCCCGGAGCCAGAATGAGCTGGCAGTGAACCCTCGGCGGGCGCTGAGGCCACCACGCTGTGACAGGCTAACTTCCTTTAGCCGGCCACAAGTCTCGCCAGTATCAGCACCATCTGTTTACACTCGGAACACCCTGCGAGGTGGAGGAGGGCTCTGCAGCAGACCCTGAAGCGCCTGCCTTCCTTCCGCCCCACCCTGCCACGCACGCCCCACGCCCCAGGAAGATGCGAGTCGGACAGATGGCACACTGAGGGAGGGGAGGCGCCGCCGGGGATGGCTGGCATCCGACACGTGTCTCAGAGGCAAGGCCACGTTTCCCACGACCGAGAAGGAGTGGGAGGGGGCCACCAGTTTTCTGGCTCCTCGTCACAAGCTGGGAGTTCTCAGACCAACAGGTAAACCTGCACTCCAAGATCAGTTCCAATTATACACTCAAGAAACAAATAGAACTCCCCCCCACCCCATAGGTCTTTCCTTTTAGCCTGCAATTTATCTGATGTGCAGTAATCTGAAGATGCACTACATTGAGTGGAACTGATGGGGCTTCCTTTACCCGAAAAGCTATGAGACCTTTTTGTTTTTTTGGTTCACTGCCTTCACTCCCTTTTAGTCACTACAGAAATTGGACGGAGTAACTTTGATTCCTCCGAAGTCTGATAGTTGAAAGTTTTTCCAGGCTCCCTCTCAGCCTGGACCATCCAAACTCCGGGAAGCTGCCCTTCCCCTTGCCGAGCTGGAAAAGGCTCCCTCAGAATGGTCCCCCAAGCAGCAGTCCCAGGACAGGGTCTGCCTGCTCCCCCACCTCCTAGGTATCGGGCAGCCACGGGCCTGGGGACACCACGCACGTCCTCTGGGGCTGACAGGTTTGTTGTGGGCTTTTCCCTGACAACAGAGGCCATGCAGAAGAGCTCGAGGACCCTCGGTAGGTAGCACGGGCAGCCGGCGGGGCCCCGGTGAGGGCTGCCCCCAGCTGCTCCTCAGCTGGCCCTCCCACAAGGGTTCGTGACTGTCCGCCCCCCCCCCCCCCCCCCCCCCCCCCCCGACCGGCGGCCGCTGCTCCCGGGCGGGGTCCACACCTTGATCATCTGGGCCACGTAGCTCTCAGGCCCCGTGTAGTCCGTCTTGTTTTTGACGCGGACCAGCACGATGAAGTACAGGTAGTTCCACATGTTGTGCTCGAACTTGATGTGTTCCTCAAAGGACACTGTCTTGTTATCAAACTTGTCTCTCTCCAGACCTGACGATGCAGAGGGTGAGGACGAAACCATCAGGCTCCAAGAGCCACCGTGGGGCCACCTGGCAGAGTAAACACCCGCCTCTTGGGGCAGTGGGGGCATTTGTTCCCCGGGCTAAAAGGACTGGTGAATGCATGTGACAGCCCACCCTGGGCTATTTAGGTCACTTCTATTTAAAGCACCAGCCACTTAGCCGTGGTGACCCCGCCCTGCCACAGCTGTAGCCTCCCACCGGGGCAGCTCAGCACCACGGTGGCCAGAATCCCAAGAGCCCGGCAACCAGGAGCAGTTGATAAGGGATTTGTCCTGCAGGTGCCACCCGCTCCTTAGCCTGCAGTGGGTGGGGAGGGGACTTCACACCGGGAGTGGGAAAAGCCCTGGACAGAGACTGGGGGGCTTCGGTTTCCTCTGGAAACTGAGAAGGTGTAAGGGGGCCTCACCGCAGATGAAGCACGTGGTCTTAAGAATCTCCTCCTTCTTCTGCTTCTCACTGCGCAGGTCAGCAAAGGTGTCAATGATCACCCCAAAGATGAGGTTCAGCACGATGATAATGACAATGAAGAAGAACAGGAGGTCGTAGACCACACGGGCTGGGAAGAGGGACTCCTGCAGGGGGGGAAGCAGGGAGGCTGGGCCCCATCGCCCAGGCAAGCCAGACTCAGGCAGGGGTCAGGGCTGTGACAGAGGAGGTTCTGCCCTCAGCAGAGGGGGACTAAGGCCCCCGGCTCCCGGGGCCCTGAGAGAGGCAGAGCAGACCCAGCCTCACTGTGGGCAGTGAGAAGTACAATCACAAGCCCTGAGTGTGGCTTAGGAGACAGCGGACTCAGAAAGGATACCAGCGAGGCCGGCACCCTGTGATAAGAGTTTGGCATGGGGCACTGAGCTGCAGGTCGAGGCCTGTCTCTGCCCCAACCTTGGGCTGGGGACAGAGCCAGCTCTGAACGCCTCTGCCCCACCCTCAGGACGCCTGGCCTCACACATTCTAGAAACACTGTCTGACCTTGGAAGCGGCTTTCCCATGTGGCCGAGGACAGACTGAGTACTGGTAATGCCTGGCTGCCTGAGTCAAATCCTGAGGCGTCCTCACGGAGCAGACTCAGCTTCCCCACCCTGCCCTCCCCTGCTGTGGGCCGGGGCTCTGCCTCGCAGATGAAGCCAGCGCAGCCGGGGATCCGCCCGGTGTCTGACTCAGGCCTTCCCCAGCCTGGGCAAAGCTCGGCTGCCAAGGTCTTTCCTGAGAGCAACTACAGGGAGCCGGTGGGGAGGAGTGAGCAGACGGGGGTGGGGAAGCTCAACAACCATGTAACCGCGCACTGGACCCGGTGGCCAAGCAGGGAGAGGGGATGCGAAGTGGGGGCTTACAACATCGGAGAGGGAGGGGGGCCGAGCTGCTCCCCCAGGCCGTGACCGTGACCAGAGAGCAGGACCTCGCAGTGGCTGACGTGGCCAGGGCTCGGGCCACGTGGATTTGGGAGCGGGGCAGGGGATGCTCACGTCTTTGGAGGGCTTGCGGAGAATGTCGCCCACGCCACCACCATTGCGCAGCCCGTGGTTCATGACAGTGACGATGCACATGAGCAGCGTGTCGCAGGCCCGCTCCGTGCTCTCCAGCTCTTCGTTCCCTACAAGCGGAGTATGTGTTCACACCCAGGCCAAGCCACCCGCCTCTGCGCCCCTGCCCCAGGTGCCCAAGACACACTGCCCTCACCTTCCAGGACCTCAGGCACTGAGACCCCTGAGACACAGTCCAGCTTGTCCCCACTGCACGTGCCCACAAATGTGGCAGCTCCATGTGGCATCCCCAGGGGGCTGGCTAGAGAGGACGTGGGTGAGGTCACCAGGAAGTCCAATGGCCATCATTCCCCTCGCTGTGACCCCCGCCCCACATCCTCCATGAAGCCTTCCCTGATCCTGCGAGCTCCCCCTTGTCAGGCTACACGTGAAGGGTCCTCATGCCCCTGCTATGCACAAAGGACAGGAAGGGGGGGGGGG